AAATTTTTTACACGTGATTGCTTCAACGTAAATATCCAATGAGGAGTGCACGTTGAACCCAACCCTGATGAAAATTAGTTGAAATAAATCGAAAAATGTTCGATTCCTTCGCATGACTTTTAATTATGTTTTTTTTGTATTTTTTTTTTTTAGTGTAATACGGAAATCGAAAATACTTCACAACATTTGGGTATACCCCGGGCCAGGCGCGGCTCGTGGCATTAGGTATACTAAACACTTCTTTTCTCGAATCCTATAGGAGGCTTCAACGACTCGTGAAATTTGTGCACAGCCATGCACCGCGTAGACAGTGCTTGTTCCTCGGCGTCGGGACATACCAAGGGTAGTTTTTGTCCTTTCATCCCCTAGGCTCTGACTTTCCTCTTCAATTTTTACTTGTCCCTCTCCGCCTCTCTCGCTTTCTCTATCCTTCGCCCTTAGCGCTTGTCGCTTTTTTTTTCTTCTTCTCTCGCACTTCCATCGCCCTACCCGGCACTTTGGCCGCCCCTGGGGGTGCAACAACCCCGGTGCGCTTGTCATATAGTGTCGATACAAGAGCACCGTACTCGGTGACAAGTTAACTTTCTTTTTCTCTCTTTCAAGTAAAATCGCCTGTCGTCTGGTACAACGGTAAAAAAAAATATAATTAATTAATTAAAATTTGAAAATTTTTAGCACTAATGAAATTATTTTTGCCATTTGTGTGAACGCTGCTTTATGATACCGCATGAAACGGGGGATCTTCTTTGGAGTCTTTCAGAGACAGACCCGACCTCCCTTAACCCCATAGCGATTGATGGTTCATAAAATAATCGTAAATACACGAAAGACCCATAAAGTTATGTTGGGCGGGGCGAGGTTGGCGGGTAATGGGGGAGGCTGCAAGTCGCGAGAAGAAATTAAAGAGTGAAAAAGATAAAGAAAAAGACCAAAAAATACTAGGAGAGACTAAAAAAAAAAAAGAAGTAAATACAAAAATATCGTCGGTATGGTCGCCTGCTGGTTATTAAGGATGTATAATGAAAATATATATGTATACCCCGTATAAGTTCCGTGGAAATGCCATGGGATACAACCCTTGGGACAATAAGGGTACGCTACTGACGAAAAGAAATTACGAAATCCTCGAATGCGTTCGTGACTTGTATACAAGATCGTCGTGTCTTCGCCCTCTGCTGAATAATACTTTGGCATTCATTTTTATCCCAATTTATCCACCCTCCATAGCAACCCTCTTCGTATTTTCTAAAAGGAGCAGGAAGTTGAAGAAAAGATAGAAAGCTACAAGAATAAGGGAGCATATTGTGTGTCGACGACAACGTTGCCAAAAACACGAACCCGTGGGCAGGAAAGGTGGGGTAGTTCCCTAATACCCCAAGAAAAGCTCGTTAGCAAAAGACCTCTACCTACTTCTGGTTATTTTTACCCCCGTACTCAATCACCCTCCATACAGACATAAAGTTATCCCGAATTGGTTTCGTGTATTAGACATATCCTTTTTATACCCCTGAGCGACAGGTAGAAAATAAGGGAAAATAATTGTTTAGTAACACTAAGTAAAATTCTCGAAATTCCATAATAGTCCACGAATAGTGTCCATGTAGCTAAGGCCCGAATTCTAGCTCGACGGGAGGCACTAAAATATCCCCAGAGACATTCCCTCGCGATAAAATCCCCTATACTATCCCGGGTAAGGGAGCGCTGAAGGGATCTCCCCCTCTATGTTACTTTGCCGGACAGTCTTTGAGGGACGTTAAAGCGCATAACGACGCAATTTATCGCACGCAGCTACCGCCATGGGCGTCCGCGATGCAAAACTGCCATAAGCTCGAAATCGCTGCACGGCTGAATGTTTTAATACCTTACGAGGAATTCACGATGCACGACACGGAATAGCCTTTGTGATTAAACTCATGGAAATTACGAAATACAATGTCCATTGAAAGTATACAGGGAAAAAAGAAATCAAACACTTTTTGTTATAAAAGTTTCGCAGACGCTCGAAGCGCCGGTGAATTAGTCCTAGAAAGTCCGTGTCACATGGGAATTTTAACAATCGTCATTCGAAGCCCGCGTAACGACACGTTCGCGCGATTGAGAGTCATCACGGCTACGCGACATTACACGTTGTTCGACACGGTGGCAAAGCGACGTGAATATCAAAGCAAGTAGATTGACCGACCGGTAGTTTCTTAAAGCGTGGACAAAGTTAGAAGGAACGAGGTATAGGTATAACACATTAAAAATAGACTTCAAGTAGTCGATTGTGCGTTTAATTTCGGAGCTTCATTGTTTAGCCGTCGTCGAGTGACGTCGTACGAAATTAATCTGTATATACATATTACGTTGTTGACTATTAGCAATGGTTACACGGCAAGGCTACCTAGTCACCTTCTTCCAGGGATTTTAATTGCGTCAGTCTATATAAACAGGCGAATGATGCACTTGGTACCTGGTACATCCTTAAAACTCGGCGACTCGTTGACGCGAACGTAAATACGACGCCTACGCGAAGAACGGCTTGGACTACCATTGCTCAACGTAAGCAGACGTAAAAACGAAGCTGCACTCGGTACGAGCGCCGCGAATAAGGGCCACATAAAGACGGAGGCATAAAACTATGATTTACTGCTTGTCACTGGAACCACTGAAGTTGCTGAGTTTGCTGCGTGTACGTGCGTTCGAGTCCGCCGTGCACTCGTACGCGCATGCGCACTAAGCGAGTTACGTTGCGCTCGCGAACGAAGCGCCGTGATATTTCGTCCGTGCACGTTTCTTCACTTTTTATCTTTATTGCCCCTTATTTTCCTTCCTTTGCTCGCTCTCCCTTACCCTTTACCTTCTGCATCTTCGACTCTATCCGACTCACCTGACGTGTACCGGTAGCCTTTGTTGGAGTAACGAGAAAAAAAAAAGGAGAAAAGCTGACAAAAAAAATAAAGACAGAGAAACTTGAAAGACACGAACTAAATTAAAGTGTCAGTCAGTAATGGCGGACTCGTTCAAACTTATCTTCTATATTACTCTTTCAATTGTTATTTTATACGGACATAAGTTTCTACCTTGACTTTCAAAATTTTCTCATTTCATTATTACTTTCTCACGAGAATCTCTTGATTGTCCTAAACTGAGTCTAATTTAAATATATATATTCAGTGAAGTTAAGTAGTACATTTTATTCAACTCTTTTGTCTAATAAGGAGAGTTCGGATACTTTAGTTTTGTGTATATCGCGTGTAACGTCTCTGTTAATAATAATGACAATCTTGCCCACGCGCTTCTGGGAATGATTAAGATTACGAAATTACCGAGAAAAAAGAAATTATTTACCGTCCAGCCTCCATTATGGAAAAACAATCCGAAAGTCAAATCGAAGAGCCAAATCGAGTCATGAAATTCATCTCGTAAGTCAGTTTCACTGAATGCCGTGTTTAACGACGTCTGCGGTTTCCCATCAAACTTCACCCTGGTGCCTTGACATCTATCACCTACAATATACGTATGTATATGTACCATCGACGCTCAAGCAGTGTACAGGACCTTTCAAAATTTCACGAGTAGCAGCACGATAATCTTTCACCGTTGCCAACCGTCAATCTTTTTCACGTAGCTGGACACGTTAAGACTGTACCTGGTAGATTCTAGATCTGGATAAAGCCTACGAAAGACATTTGAACCGTCACTGCTATGCCGTATCCTGTAAATGCACACACGTGTACACGTGAATAAAGTACGTAGTTTTATATAACTGCTGGACTCTGCATTGCTGTACGTTTTTTGATACCGAAAGCTGCCAATCCGGCTGTCATTAGGAAAAACAAGTTACAATATATATGTGTCATAACCTGACATCGATTTGGCATTATTTGCTTATTCGTTGTACAGAATTTGAGTTGAAACATTTTTGTTTTACTTTGACAGCTGTCACGTGGTATTTTAGACGTCACTTGAAATTATTGTATTTGTACATAATTTTGATCTCATTTTTTAAAATGTATTTACGACAGAAAATCGGTGTACGATTTTCAAATAGAAATTGCTAACCTCTTTATTATATTTTTTAATAACCACCCTGTATACTTAACAATGCTGTATAACAGCGAAAGTTTCAAGTGAAAGCAGGAGAAATGCTTGTAAAGCTGGATATACCTATGGTTTCGTAAAGGTTACGTTGTGTGTTTAGAGGTTAAAGTTTAGATAGGTTAAATTTGAGGTTAGATTAAAAGACGCAGTTGGTGGAAATTGGTGTTGTCTACCCGTTTAAGAAACTAGATTAAGCGTCAAAGTATAAGCTGGTGCTCTTTTTCTAAGCACTGTTTTTATCACTGTGTCACTTTTCTTGGATATTTTCGATGTTAAAACTTTTTTCTTGTTTCCCTTCGTAACAATTTCTCGGTTTATTTCCTTTCTGTTACTTTTGAAATTAGAAGGTACCCACCAGCGCCTCCAAGCGGATCATTCCGTTATTACTCCACATACTCTTTTACCTTCCCTGCAAACAGTTCCAAGCCTCGCGATTGTTGAACGATAAAAAGGATAAATAAAAAAAAGTTAAGTGGAAGATGAAGAAGAAGAAGAATAATAATAACGCGAAAGAAGAGCAACGCTATAGTAAGACTATAAATGGATTCGCGAACATATTGGAAAACTTTACTGTCACCCGTTACAATAATATCCGTACTGCTATGTATCCCATGGCAGCTTCACTTGGTACACACACACACACACACACACACACACATTATATCCAAGATTTTACGTTAGGAAAGCCTCGTAAAAATCGTGACTCGTACCAACACTTTTTATGAGCATTAAAAACGTTAAAGTCACGCCAGACGGTTTTTCGAGTTATCTTCAACCGAGTATGAGATCAGGAAATGGTACCTTCTGCACTGGTAATGCCGTTAGCTTGATTATATCCCGACTTTATGATTATTATTTTATACTTGGCAATCAATCAATGTAATTAATGTGTTTTTTTTTTTTTTTTATAATTCTAGATGTAATCCCGTGACAGAGGATTCGTTAAAAAGTGCGAGGAGGCCCTCGCGATGGATACGGGACCAAAGCAGGGCGCGGCCCCGGTCGCGGGTCAGATTGGGACCCCGGTTCAAGGTCCGGCCCAGACCCACGGACAAGGTCAGACCCAAGAATCCTCCTCCGAGGCTGGACCTGTCGAGGAGGGCGTCCTGCTTGCCAGGGTCCATGTTCCTGAGCTTTACGTCAGCAAGTGTCTACAGTTCCCTAAAGATCAGCTCGTTTGGGACGTAAAGCAGCAATGTCTTGCGTCATTGCCAAAGGTACGAGAAACCTGTTTTCTTTTTATTTCCGGCAATTATTGATGACGCTCGTAATTAATTGCAACGACCGTGATAATTATTTTATGACTAATAACACGTTTTGCGGATCCTCGGTCCTTTACCGAGCAGACTAATTTTGCACCGGGTTATATATAATTTTATTAATTTATTTTACCTTTCTGTTTTTCTTTATCTTGTTCAACGTTATATCCCGCGTGCTGAAATTGCGAAAGCTGATTTTTCTCTTAATTTTTCCTTTTCTTTCCATTTTTGACGCCAACCGTTGATTCCTAAGATGGATAAAGTCTAATTTCCTTGCGCTATACAATGTTGCCGTATTTGCGGTATTCATTATTATCTTGATTATACACCAAGATAAAACCGCAATCCTACGGGACTAATAAGGTTTTAAATCCCTTTGCAGAAAGAGGGCTCGTACTCTGATACGCTCCTTTTAAGTCAGTAAAGTTTTATAACGGTTTTCTATTACCGATAGATCAGGAAGTAAAACTGATTTGCCCAAAATTACTCGAATAATAAGTTATAATATTTTCAATGAATTTCTTACTTTATGACTCTTTGAACGTTTCTCAGTAAATTTATAATAAATTATTAACACTCTTTCACTGGTCCAATAACATTCAAGTAGTTGGAAAATTATGTATGTAAAAGTAAAATTTACTTGTCAATTTCAATATAAAATTCATATTACCTCCCACGCCGAATCGATTCGGTATCTACATTTAAATTCCTATAAATTCAAACGAGAATATACTTCGTAATGATATGTCCGATACGCGTATAGTCAATTTCATCTGTATTTCTATCAAGGTCGTCATACGTTGTATCACTCGGAACTTTGTAATATATACATATAATGACGTTTCGACTTGGAAAATTACGAAGTAAACATGTCAGTGTGCTTTCTGCTTTCTGTCCACGCTCTCTTCTCTCTGGTCACGCATAGAGAATTTTCACGCGTGTCTTTCTGTCCCACATGCTTGCCTTCCGGGACACAGGAGGTACAGCACTGAAACCCTATAACGAGAAACTGTTTCCCGCTAAATACCAATATTATAAAAAAAAATTCCCTTTCACGTATGGGAAATTTCTATCGATAAATAAAAAAATATTTTGATATACATATACATATACGCGCATATATAAAATGTCCTTAAAAAGTATATACCGTCAATATATCTCATACGGTATCGTAGCATTATCAAAAGAATTTTCCCATACGTAATAAATCTCACAAAGTGTAATTGTCTCAAGGTAATTTCACCGTACGAATCCCATGGCCATTGCCTGATTAAGGGAATTCCCGACAATTATGAAATTCCCCATTATCTCGTGCGCCTTTTGTTAGAAAAGTGATGTAAGAAATATAAAAAATTAACCAACGAATTGTAATCAAGCTAAATATTCGCTCTTAACGAGGATCGTGAATTGAAGTAAAAAGAGGCAGGTCTCAAGAAGTCGGCATGATTAAACGTTCTGCAAATTGCATTCCCACGTATGAAACAGCTGTCGAGTGACCGGCCAATCGGAATTCGCTAACTTGGCCAATAGGAACAGAGACCGTTCTCGATACCGTACTATATATACCATGTGTCAAGTAAATACACACCACATAAGCGAATAACTATACATAATCCTATACTTGGGTTCGGTAACATTCGCCGGCATTCCTCGGGTATTATTGTGGCTTTGAATGTTAATTGGCCTCCCTGTGTTAATTGTCATTTACGTATTAATTAACGTGTCCTTACTGTTACGTAATAATTTTAATGCCAATATCGCATTCGATTAATCTCTTCAAATGAATTATCGATCGGTACTGTTCGGCGTGATAAAAATTGAAAAAAAAAAATGGCCATGGGAATCGTTACAGGTGTTATCAGATTTTTTTCGAATTTCCTTATCTAACATACCTCAGGCCCCCTTATTCTTTCTCTCTCCATCATGCTATCATTTTCTATCAAACCTGTCTCACCATCATTCGTAACCAACCTCTTAACCCCCCCCCACCCCACCCTAAAAAAATTTACTCGTGAAACGTGTTTTCTGACGTGTGCTGTGTTTTTTGTGCTTTTTTTCCTCCCTCACTTGCACGGGACGTGCGTACCTACACTACCACATCTTCGTGGGGCCGCTCGGACTCGTCTGAATCGAAATAAAAAAAAAAATATTACGAAAAATGAAACCAAAAAAAACCAACCAACCGACTACCGACCATCTACTCAAATTCACCCCGCGACTCCGTACGGCCACTTCACCTTCTCCGGCACTTCTTCACCACGTGGTTACACCCCTTCGGTATCGGCCACGTCACCGCTTCACCCTATTTCGAGTGTCTCGCAGGTGGCCACTTGGTACAGGGTACGTTTTCACTACACTAATAGCATGGAACTTTCTTGTTTTTGCACGAATACAATATATATTACTGTTTTGTCTATATAATTAGATATATATGTATATAGTATTTTTGAACCACTTGCCACCCCTATACCCGTAACGCCTATACAAAATTTTATTAATCACAGGGTATTTTAATTAATTATTGGTATTATCGTTAATTATGTTAAAATATTAATTTTTACTTAATGAAATGCAAACACTTTGTTGTATGGTAATTAATTATTTGATACGGTTATACAGGTGGCTCTAATTGCTCTCAATGTTGTTCTTCCCATGTTTATTGTATGTTGTATAGTGTGTATACTGTGTATTTAGCCCGTAAGGTTTCTTTGCAGGATTTATAAATGCAACCAGTCTCAATGAGACACCCGCCTTGAGGTGCATTAAATAACGTAATACTCCAGTGTGCATATAGTATTATAAGCATCGTATACAGTTGCAGTATATATATAGCGTGTAGCACGAGTCAACTTTCGTTTTCACGGAAGGTTAACGAATCCGTTGAACCTGATGGTTTACGGGACTCCATAAGAGCACCATTGAATATCTATATGTGTATATATCGATACGGGAGCCCACTTGTACAGTCTCATTTATAATTATTACGTACATTCACTGGTGCATAAACACCTACATACGTTCTCTCGGTATGCGTCAATCCCGAGATGGAAAGGAGGTAAGGAAGGTTTGTAATACCGCGGGAAAAGTCGTCGTTGCGTAAAATTTAACGCGATTTCAATATGACGCCTTCCTTTTTTTCCCACGATGTGATTGATTCGGGAACGATGGAATTTTTTTGGATTTTTCAATTTAACTGTACGAAAGTGCCTGCACGAGTTTTACGTAGATACCGATGGATCGGTGATGGAGAAAAATTTTTTGATTTCAAAAAAAAGTTAAAAAAAAATTACAAAACAATTTCGAATATTTTTTCACCGTCGATCGCGGATCGTACTGAAGGATGGTTCTCGCGAATTTTGAAGTTTCAGGTAAAACCGTTATTTTTGTTCGGGTACGTGTATCTTGAACTTTGTAATCGTATTATGTTGCACGTGACGTGGGTGAAACGCGTCTGTATTGACTACGTGTACAGTCACAGACATATCTTCCTAATGACGTGGTAGCACGCGTGACGAATGAAAGAAGAAAAAGTGTTTTAAAAAATGAATAAAACCTGTAGCACATACGAACGACGCGTTTCTAACCTTGCTTCGTGTGGTTAGGTTATGTAAGGCCGAGAACTTTTCAGTGGACTCGAATAAAAATAATTAATGACACGTCAGTTTGTATGTGGCGGTCATGATTTCGAGAAGTACCTGATTATTCAAATAACCATCTCAGATATAGTTGTTATAAATTTTTATTGCGTTTTTCTTTTTCTTTTACGAAATACCGTCATAATCGTGCTCCTATCCCATATGCCTCGTAAACACAGTAGTGATATACGATTCGACGTTGACATCGAAAGTCCAAAAACACTCGAATTACATTATATCCAGACTCGTCTTCCGACAGGATCTTACTTTCACGGTTTTGGCGGCAACTTTCGAAAATTTGAATAACGACCTGCGCGCGCAATTCTCACGTATCCACAGTGGCTTCATGATTTTAGACGCTGGTATTTTAATGGCGTTTTAGTAATACATGAGAATTTCGCGTAAGCAGTCGAGAATCGAATTTTCAGTAAAGATCGACGACCGATTTGACACGGGATGATTGTTTGGACGGTCATGCGGACGCGCCCGTTCATAGGGATATTGAGTAACGGATCACGTGAATGTTTTAGTACTTGGATCTCCTCGTGTTTTTTCGACGAATAAGACAATTGTTTTGGTCATTTTTATTACCCGGGAGTATTTCAGCCGCGACTAATCAATACTAAACGTGGCTACGTCAAAGTACCATTATGTGTAACAGTGGGCTTAACAAATCCATACGTTCGATAGGCGATACATTTCAAAGCAGCTGATTACAAAATCCTTTTTTCTTTTCATTATCCTCCTCCATCTCGTCTCTTTGTCTCTTTCCGTATCACTCCTCCATTCACACGAAAAAATCCTACCGGTACGTACGATGCACTACGTTATTGTTATGCCTGTTCGTTACGGGTCATAGAGATTTTTTTCGCCTTTTTTTTAATACCTCATTATACTAGCCCAAATGTAACCCAGGGCCATGCCCAATACAGTGGACGGTAACGATCCAAAATGTTGGTTCAAGATCGATGAGCCAATCAAGCAAACGTCCAGATTTGACTAGGTAAAAATTTCGTCACGTGCGAAGCTTCATGAGTTATTATATTGAGAGCGAGAGAGCGAGAATGTAGCTGATCAAATATAAGAAAAAAAAAAAAAAAAAAAAAAAAAA